CCCCTTCTAATCAATTCCCTTGGCTGGTTTTTATCAAGACACGAAGTAATTGTATATTTGTATAATTGAATGAATCTATGTGCATGGAATTGTCTGAAAGGCTTCATAGCAAGGGGAGAACAATGAATTCAGGTTTGTTAAACTGTTAAACAAGTATTTGGGAAGTGGAATGTAAAATTGACTGAACCTTAATTTGCTAAAATCTGGTCTTCTTCAAAGCAAGTTGGACAACAAGTTGTTCATTAAGAGGGGATACAGTAGGTTGGTAATCATCCTCGTCTATGTAGATGACTTATTGATAAAAAATTAAAATTCTATCTTGTCATTGAGTTCATCATATCAAAGCAAAGAATTCTAATGAACCAGAGGAAGTATGTTTTCGAGTTGATTTCGGAGTTGCGGAATATAGGATCAAAATAACTCCATTCAATTTTATGATTTTACTTCTTAGAAAATATCTAGCAAAATATCTTGAGAATAACTGGAAATTTCTGAGACATGTTATGATCATACTTGATGCAATTTAACACTCAAAAGAGATTTTCCACATCTCTATTATTCAACTTATGTCATCGATTATTACAATATACTGTCCTTAATGTTTGAAATGACAAAATGGATATCTGCTTATCAGCAGTATAAGAAATTACATATATTCCGTATTATTAGTTATGCACTGAAGACCCTTGTTACTAGAGATTGGGATTGTTCTTATTTGTAAACTTGCAATCTCTGCGAATTTCGCCATTTTTACCGGTCAACACTTTGAGACCTCCCATCCTGTTGATTGACAATGTAAATGCCTTTCTGAATTGCTCTAAACTGTGTGCAAATTCATTGACTAGTTCATTTGTGTCAGCTCCATATGATAGTTGCTGATCAACTCTAAGAACAGATTCGTGAGCTACAACTTTTCCATAGAATGTATTGGAGAATGTGTAGTTAGAACCATATCCTGGTGAGAAATAGACAGCTGAATCGGTTTTGCTATTTTTTGGGCACTGTGATCGTAGGGTTACTAAGGTAGATCTCTTCATGGTGGGGTCTGGTTTTCCAGTACCCTTGAAATTGTAAAGGCGGTCATAGAAGAATCGGCAATGTGCTTGCCCCATTGAATGTGCTCCTGAAAGATAAATGAATATGGTTTTTAGAAGAAAATAAGTTGTACATGGTAGGACCGAAAAAGCAGGTGTCATGCGGAAGTTAGCCAATCAAACCTTGAACAACGATAAATTAGACAATAAAAGAGAAATATACCAAAAGAGACACAAACATTTAACGTGGTTCAGTCGATTGCGCTACATCCACGGTGGAGATGAGCAATCCACTATGTAAAAAAGAGTACAAAAATATTGAGAGAACAAGCTCACGAAGAGGCAAACACAAGTAATACACTAACACTTGTCTCGAAAGCTTCTCCCTCCTAAATAAGACTCTCAAACCTCATATGGCTACATTGTGGATGCTACTAAATGAAAAGGAATGATCCTTAATTTATAGAAGTCCAAATATTTTCCTACAAGAAATAAAATAGCCAAATATGGAAGAATTATATTTTTCCTTTTCGTATGGTAAATATGTTGTCCTTCAAAAAATAACAAAATCAAATATGATAAAAAAATTAGGACAAATACCTCACAATATACACTAACAGTGCAAAGACCAATCTGGTCAGTTACCGTTTTTACCACATTACCAACTAATAGCGTATTATAAAGTAAGTTTTAAGTGATCTACCTAAACACTAATTAGGATCATAATTAAGTTGTGTCAAAAGGCTATTGTAACATACTGTTAAAATAAGTAAAGAAGATGATAAACTCATACCTAAAAGAGTGACAAAGTCCTGAACATCAAGGTTTTTGGATTCAAAGTAAGCAAGGCCTTCCTCCCAAGACATGGAAGGTGAAGGGTAATCTATCCATGCAGCATTTGACTCAAATCCATCCCTTCTTCCCAAAAACACTGGATAAGATGGCCCACCTGCCTATAATATGCCACAATTAAAGCCAAAAACGGTTTTCAATTAGGCAATTTAAAAAAAAAAAAATGGATTAGGGGGTTTTTAATTAGTTAATGTATCGCGCACATGATTAATCCTAATAAAAAAATGATTTTCACCATATCAAAACAATAGATGTATTGCAAGTATTTTGTATAAAGTTTAAATTATGTGTACTGATGTGCAAGTTAAATCGATAGTATAAATTCTCTATATTATCAAACTTAATTAAATCCATTCATATAAACAAGTATTTAAGAAATGTCGATTAAAATAATCTGAAGGAAAGAGAGAGAAGTTACAAAGTGAACAGCATCCCTGGTAGCAAGACTGAGGATATCAGTACAAGAAACGGCTCTGGGACATCGAATTTCAAGAACTTTTTTTATTCTGTCTATCAATTCATATGCTCCCCCTCCCATCCCTGCATTTTTTGATGAATTTCTCTCTGTGTTTGGTCCCACTAGCAGATTTGATGCATCGCAACCCTGGACAATAATAAAGAAACACATTTTAAAAAAAATTAGTAACCTGATAAAAAATTTTAATAATCAATTATTGTTAGTTAAATTACACCCGACCATAAAAAGATCATATTTACAATATCACTGCAAATAACTTAAATCATATATACTACTACTTTTTTTTTATTCCCATCCCCTTTGATCCCCTTTGTTTGAGTTATTGCTCCTTTGGTGACTCGAACCCACAATCCTGGAGTTATAGGCGGAGCTGTAAATCATACTACTAGTTTATTAAAAGATGTAGCTTGGTCAAACTTAATGCAGAGAAATTTTAAAACACTATCAGTAGTTACAAGTTACAACCATTGTGTTGCCAAAACAAAAGTTAAGTAAGCAAATTCTTTATTTTCTAATCCTCCACCTTTTTTTCTTATACATTTTCTTTTATTAAAGAGGAGACACGCCATTTTTATAGGCTTAGATTTTGCATCATAGTCAAATATGTCCTCTATATTAACGGCATGCATTAAAGTTAGTTGCTTATGGTAAAAGGTATCTATCTGCCTTTACTACGCTACCCAAGCGTCTTTCCTAAGGGAAGGGCTGGATAAGATAAGATATTAGTAATATAAATATTCCGGGAGTACGTACATAATATTATTTACTCATATTCTTCGCACCAAAATCAATGGAGATTAATACTACTGCCCTTATTTGAATTATAAGATTGATATTTTTAGCAAAAGCCACTAGCAAAAGCATGAGTCGGTTTGTTAAAATCTCAGGATAAAGTTAATAGAAATTATAGTTATTAGGTAATATTGAATTTTCTGGCGGTTGCACCATGTTTTAAGTGGTAACGATTGAAAAAAGTAAAATTCTTGGTATAGCAAAGACGAGAAGACATGGGGAATGAATATACTAATTAAGTTAAAGAAGATTAGAAGAAGAAAGAAAGAAAAGCAATTAAACTTTTAGCAACTACTTTGTAAAGAAAGGCATGAATTCGATCGTTATAATTTCTGATCGTCAATAAAATAGTCGGTCTATAAAAATCACAAGATCTGGTTATTACTTCAATTTAGATGACACATTTTCCTTATTAGTCTGTTCCAAAAATACTGACACATTTTTAAATTTTTATTTTATCTATTTTAGAAGCTTTTATACTCACACAAGTGTCATGATCCCACAAAGCTTTTACCCGCTTTTAAGACCACAAGTTTCAAAAGTCTTTTTTTTCTTCTTAAACTTCATATCGAGTCAACCTACCTCATCTAAATTGAAACGGATAGAGTAATACTAAAAATCGAGTGAAGAGAGAGAGAGAGGCGTACATTGAGCATGCAATCAGCATAGAGCAGCTTGAGCAATTTGGCAGTGACAGTTTTATCTTTGTCCCAAAACAGCTTCACTTGGTGTCTCACAAATGGCTCCACATTTGCACATGTATTCAGCTTCTTATAGTAATGCCTCTCCAGTGGCTTATCCTCTGGTGGCAAAAACGTGGCAGCATTCACGTAACCTG